GGCTGAATTTCGAGTGCATTGGTACACAAAAAAAAGTGGTCCTCGAAATTTCGAGTAAATTGCGAAAATTGCGATTTTTGTTTGCCTTTTTTTCACTATATTCGCAATTAACTCGAAATTTACCTCACCTCAGATTCTGATTCAAGGGGTCGAAATATATGCATGTCGGTAGGTGTGTCTGGTTAAAAGCACATACCACTTTTTTTGAATGCCGGCGATATTTTTTGATTAAAAATAAACAGGGGTATATTTTTAAGATATACATACATACAACAATAATAAGGGGTGAGAGCGTTAAGATTCGGTCTTTACTTTTATTTACATGCATTTTTTGCCCACCCTAATGTATCTGCATATGTACATAATTGTTCAATTAATTCAATAAGTAGATTTATCTTACTCGGCCTATTCATTCTAAAAAATTTGGACTCTTTAAAACCAGACCAAAATGCAATTAATGCTTGCGTAATGATTAATTATGGGCAGGCAGACATACGAGTACAGTTATACATGCGTCTTTTTGTACGTACGCATGTATATACAAGTACTTACATACATACTATGTATGTACATATATCCAGTAGCTTGACTGGCTTATGATTTAACTATGAAAGCTACAAAAGTGTCAACTAATTGCGTCAAATGCGCTGAATGTAGTTTTATTTAATTAGATCAAAAGTTAAGTTACGAGCACAAGAAGTAACTAAATACATACATATGTACATAAGTATGCAGTTTGAAAAATCGTAGATGTGATGTACAAGGGAGTGCCAGCAGCACATACATATGTATGTATTCCAGCCTACACCACTTCGAGTTTACAATTAATTAAGATATTTATCTGCTTATGCGGTTATTAAGTAAGCTTCGCTTCCAGCGCAAAGTAGGTGTGACTAAGGCAAAATGCTTAAATTAACCAAATTACACATTAATGTGTAGCGAATTTTTTATTTTTTTTTAATAAACTTACTATGAATCATACGCTCTTCTCTTTACAGAAGGGAACTAATTTTAATTTTAAATTATTAAATAATTTATGGAAGCAATAATTTCGCATTACATAACTTAATTTTTCCAAAAAATTGAGGTTAAATTAATTTCGCTTGGCTTATCGCTTTAGTGCTCTGGTATTGGCAAGTATTTATTGTACATACTTAAATAGCTAGACTGAAAGGAGAAATCTTATCAAAAACAATTCCAAAGATAAAGTTAATATTGCTTTCAGCCATTTGCTTGCTAACTGTTTTTGTGATTAGTTGTTATTTCATACAAAACTCATAGGTCTAGTCAAATACAATGATAAGGAGAAGGCAATGAGTGAAAGAAGAGCTTAAGTAAATTCAAAAGAAAGGAAAGAGAATTGCTGGATGCCTGAAGAGAAATTCTTTTTTCCTTCTTTGCGACTCGGACCGATAATCATAAGCCGAAGAATCGTAGCAAGGAAACTTGAATGGAACAAAACTACATAAATCCGAATGAGTGCAATGCTTGTTCAGCTCCCACCCAAGTCTCCACAAAGAAAAAAAAAAACCTAATAAAATAGAAGAAAACTAATAAAATATAGTTTCTCTCCAAAAATACTTTTTTTTTTTGTATTGAAAAGCTAAATCTTGAAAATAAAATCAATGAACAATTCATTCGTTTTCTTAAATGCACTGCATTCTACTTGTCAAGCTCTATCATTTGATACCCATATAGACAGGATTGTGAAAAAAATATATAATCTGCCATTTTGTGGCGGCGACCATCTTGGATTTACAATAATAATGTTCGAGTACTTAGTTACATATATTGCCGCCAGAAATAGTGTACCAAATTTCAGATCAGTAAGTTGACAGGAAGGAGGGGGAGGAAGAAGACCCAAAAATGGGTCAAAACGATCCACACTGCTGAGAAATAGTAGGTTAAAAGTTTCACATAAATATGCGCAATTAAATTTTACTATAGCCACTTAAAGGCAAGATTTATGGTAATTTAGTCAACTTGAGAGTCTCAAGTTGATACCAAATTAGGTCAATCCCAAACCACTGTAAAAAAAACTGTGACGTTTAGGAAAAAACGACCCGAGTTAACTATTCTAGAGTTCTTTAATGACGCTTTTGTGTCGTTTTTTTTACTGTCGCACAGTGCAATCTCATTAATAAACCCAATAAAGAATAGCTATGGAATTTTCTTAGTTTTTTCGCCTGTTTTACCCTTTGGCCTGCATATTTTCAAAAATAATATTTTCTAGTTTTTTTTTAACAATATATCATATTTTGCTCTGATTAAAATTCTTACTACTTAGGTTCTCTGAAAGAAAACGTCAGGCTAACTGAGATTGAATACTGGTTATCTAATGGAGAAACTGCAGCTTTTATCAATTTTCACTACTCTGTTTCTGGAACAACTTTTCGACGATTTAATGGTAAGATGATGCAACTTCTAGGCGGGATTGGAGTAGAGGAAGGGTACTAATTGAGGAGAATTCTGCTGACATCTATACTGACTGGTCCAAAACAGACTGTGGTGTGACTGCAGGCCTATTACCTGAAATGCTATAGGAACATACATATCTCTCTCGTTGCGGCTACCTAACTTTGCTAGCATCTTCCAAGCAGAAGTGATGTAGATAGAGAGAACTGTAGGTTACTGAAAAGAAACTGTGAATGACAACAAAAAGCATATACTTTCTCAGATAACCAAGCAGAACTTCTGACATAATGATTGCAAGTATACCATTATCTCGATGGTCAAATCAATAGATATTTCAGTCATCTGGGTTTGCAGCCACACTTCGAAACTGCAAGGAACATCTACTACTTGAAGCCGTAAATAAAAGAAAACGTCAGGTTAACCACCACGATGACATAACACTGTCCTCTTGGTAAAAGTACATCTAATAAGGGACCTCCGTACAAGACTCTGCGCCGCAGCTGTTTTCAAAAGCTTCACAAATTAGATTCGAAAAATAGCGCGAGAACCCAGAACAAGGTAATTTTTATCCATCACGTCAGGATTTTTTTTCCTATTATTTATGCGATAGGTACTTTTGTTGAGGCTAGGATGATGATGGCACAAAACGGACTTCAGCGCAGTAAAATACTTGGGGAAAAGATCCCCGAATCCAGACACTTTTTTATTTAATTCTATTTTTTTTTATAAAAGCAGACCTTGAATTGAAATTCAGTGTGCGACCGTGTTATCTTTGCACTTGGAATACATGAAACTTTAGGTAAATTCTTTATGCAAAACGGTATTACATGGTTGCCTTATAAAGCAGCTCCAATGGCTTCATTTCAGGAAAATTTAAGAAGAGGAGAATAAGAGCTCTCTCTACAGTGGTTTTCCAATGGTCCAGATGGTTTAGGAAGGTCTTTATAAACTGGCTAGTGACTTCAAATTAAGCATATTGATATTGATAAGTTCTCCCCCTGTCTGTTAACTGGACAAACGGATTGTCCAGTCGAAAAAATTGGAAAGTTGTCTCTAGTGTTCCAAAAAAGATGTTGAAATTCTGCATAGTGTGAACAAGATTCTGCGATGAAGTAATACATATACATATGTATGTATACCGTTGGCAGAATACTGGGTTTCATTAAGTGCCTAAGCGAGATAGAGACGCTCAGCACTCTATGCATGACATTATGCCGCAGAGTAGGCGGTAGATACGTTGAGTAGGTAGGTGGTCTCGGGATATCCTGAATACGAAGAGAGTCTGAATGCCCCGGATGCCTTGGAGAATGAGCATAAGTATACGGGGTGCCCAAGACCACCCGGAACGGAAAAATTTGCTCTACCAAATCGGAGATGTTCTATCTACTGGTGGTATTACCGGCTTCCTGCTTAAACTGGA